AATAAATGTATGTATGTAGCAACACTCTGTTCCTCATGTTCGTGCAGCTGTTCAGTGTAATGTTTTTGTACGAGTGCTTAGTGTATCTTTAGTTTAATGTTTTTCTTAGTTCATATCTTAGTTCTTAGTACTGAATTTCTTTAAAATGTATACTTTTGTTGGATGTAACTGGGACCCTGTGTACATGACAAATAAAGAAACTTTGACTTCCTCTTTGACATCACTTCCTGTTACTATACGTGAGAATATCTTAGCAGCCGTTCATCTCAGCTACATGAATTATTTTTGGTAATGCTTTATTAACATGATCTTTCCTAAATGCATTCATATTTATTACATAATTTTGATGTTACAGGTCCTTGTTGGTTCTTTTTAAAATCTGATTCAGATTCAGATGTTATCCCCAAAAGGCACTTCAGTTTGGCAGTTTCCAGATTTCCACACATACATACTCATACACCTAAAGGCAATAACAACAAAACAACAACAACATAAAAAGTAATAAAAATATATATTGCACTATAACAAATGGTGCAACATATATTTATATATTGTGCAATATATTTATTTTACTCACTTCTTTCTTGGTGTCACAAAACATACATACTTGCTTTTTTTGTCCTACCCTCCTTTTCTCTCATCTACTGTCTGTTTTTATTTTAGGTTTTAGCTACCGTTTTAAGCTGATTCTTTCTCAGCAGCATTTTGAAAGAGAAGTTCATGCCTTGTCTGGACTACAGTGACGCACTATTTACAGGAATCAGTGATTTGTGTATCTGTCAGCTTCAGAGGGGACAGAACGCTGCTGCGCGAATTTAACTGGCACACCAACGCTTGACCACATTTCTCCTGTTTTGGCCTCCCTGCACTGGCTGCCCTTACATTCCAGGATTCATTTTTAAATTATTTTATTTGCTTTTAAAGCTCTTAATGGACTTGCCCCCCCCCCCCTATCTGTCTGAGTTGCTGCATTCCTACACACCCTCTGGATCCCTCAGGTCATGTGATCAGCTGCTCCTGAGTGTGCCAAAGACAAAGTGTAAGCTCAGAGGAGACTGTGTATTTGCTGTGGCAGCTCCTAAACTGTGAACATCAGACAGGCCTCTTCCCTGTCTGTTCTTAAATCTCTTCTTAAAGCCATCTCTTCTCCCTGGACTTTGACACCATCTGAAATGTTGACTTTTGATCATTTTAATCATTTTTTTAGTATCTGACTGTATGATTGTTGTATGATATGTACAGCACTTTGGTTCTGTGGGTGTTTAAAGTGCTCTATAAATACAGCTGGTATGGTATGGTACTGTTTTGTTGGTATTAGCCTTCAACTAATTTTAGCTTTCAGCTACAGTTTTGCCAACTTTAGTTTCTGTATTCAGTTTCAGTTTATTCACACACACACGAAAGAAACATAATACATAATACATATCTGCAAAATAACAGTGCGTGAATCAGGTCTTCAAAAAGCTATTTAAAGCTTATAGACGGAGCCTGGGTACATATTGTATACAAATTATAAGACATTAAAATAACAACACAATAAAACATCAGTCCTCATAAAAATTCCACATATAATACAGATTATGTTACCTCTGATCAATCAGTTACAGGTCCTACAAGTGATCTCAAGTATATAAACGGAGCAATTTGGTCTTTAACTGTTTTTTGAAGGTGGAGATGAATTTCAACTCTTTCAAACTCTCATCAAGCTCGTTCCAAATTTGTGGACCCCTCGCAGAAAAGGTTTGACTAGTTATTCTAAGTCTTCTACATTTAGTGTAGATAAGATGTTTTTTCCTGGTTTCATAAGTATGTTGTGGACCACTGATTGGAATGAGCTCTGTTAATCTTTTATTAGTTTTATTTACAATTTGAAACATCAAACAGGCGTTTTGATACACATTCAATTCTGTTAGCCGAAGAAGACCAAAACGATGGAATAGATGGGATGTGGGAGCATTATACTCGGACCATGACACAGCTCTTATTATCTTTTTTTGAAGACTTTCATGTTTCTTAAGATAACTAGGGTAAGTATTGCACCATATAACATTACAGTATGTAAGGTGTGGCTCAATGAAAGTTTTATACATTGTTAAGAGTGTGGATAGAGGCAAATAATAACGTAATTTAAAAAACAAGCCAACATATTTGGACAACTTTGTTAGGAGACACTCGATATGCAATTTAAAATTTAAGGACTCATCTATGTGGACCCCCAGGAATTTTGTGGAACCTATTCTCATTAATTTCTCATTTTCGATTTTGAGAATTACATGATCAATTAACAGTTTAGGTTTATTGGGTTTAAAGAGAATAAAATTTGTTTTGCTGATATTAAGAGATAACTTGTTACTCTTTAACCAGATATTTATTTTTTCCAGTTCTGCATTTACGATATCCTCCAGTTCTGAATAATTTTATGTGAAAAAAACAAGTTAGCATCATCAGCAAAAATGTCCTTATGAAATATTTTGGAAGAATTTAGAAAGTCATTAATATATATAATGAAAAGTAATGGTCCTAAGATTGAACCCTGGGGGACCCCATGTTTGATGTCTTGAATTTGGGATTTTTGATGATTTAGAATTACATACTGTTGTCTACCAAAAAGATAACTTTTAAACCAATGGTATGCCATTCCTCTTATCCCATAATGGTGCAACTTACCCAATAATATATCAAAATCAACTGTATCGAAAGCCTTAGAGAGGTCCAGAAAAATGCCAACACCATAATCACCTCGTTCAATGGTATCGCATATTTTTTTCAATAAGGTCCTAAATAGCCAAACTGGTAGAACTCTTTTTCCTGAAACCATACTGCGAATTTGAGAGAATCAGTTGTTTATCAAGGTATTCAGTTAATCTACTATGTACAACTCTTTCGAGTATCTTAGATAAAGTTGGAAGAACAGAAATAGGGCGATAATTACTAATATAATTTTTATTTCCAGATTTGTAAATTGGAATAATTTTTGCTATTTTAGCCATTTTAGGCACCATGCCATGAAGTAAAGATAAGTTAATGCAATGTGCAAGAGGTTTAACAATTAAGTTTGAAATTGCATGCAGGATTTTACTGCAAATCCCATCAGCTCCAGCTGTATAAGAGCTCTTTAGTTTTTTTAATGATTGTTTTTAGTTCATTTTCATCAGTAGGTTTCATAAAAAAAAGAGTGTAGGTAATTGCCTGAAAGATAATTCTTGTAAAAGTCTCCCTGGGAATGCTTGATTTTGTTAGCAAGGTTTTGACCAATAGATACAAAATAATTATTAAAACTGTCAGAAAGTTGATGGAAATCTCTAATTGGAGATTCCGGGAGCATCTGAAGTTTCTGGCCCCTATTAAGGACTTTATTTATAACTGACCAAGTCTTTTTAGAGTCACCCTGAGCTGAATTTATATAGTTAGCATAACAGTTACATTTGCTCTTTCTTATTATGCAAGTCAGTTTATTTCTGTACAAGTGATACTTCATTTTGTTATGATTGTTAGGGTTTTTTAAGTATCTCTTGTACAGTTTATTTTTATGTTTTATAGAGTTCAGTATTCCTTTTGGTAAGCCAAGGATTTTGCTCATTTTTCGTACTGTTAACAGTCCTTTCTGGAATAGTTATGTTAATAGCTTCTGATAATTCATAAATCAGATTATTGTAAGCAGCATCGGGATCACATGCATTAAAAACACTGGTCCAAGTTTTAGTCTCTAGGCTTAGACATAGCTGTGACAAGGTTCTTTCATTCAGCACTTTACTGGTTTTCTTATAATTACATGGTGCAGGTTTACGTTTATAGTTAGAGAACATCACAACTGGGAAATGGTCAGATATATCAGACATAACCACACCAGTCTCTAGCTTAGTATTTTGGATATTTGTAACAATATTGTCAATGATAGAGCTAGAGGAGTGTGCTACTCTAGTATAAGTATTTATGGTCGGAAAGAAGGAGGTGGAGTGAAGAATGTTAAAAAAAATCATTTTTAATTGCATCATCCATTGAGATGTCTATGTTGAAATCAGCGAGGAGGATGCAATTAATGTTTTTCCTATTGAATGAATAAAGGATACCATCTAACTTATTCATAAAAACAGTAGGGTTTGAGTCAGGAGGACGATAAATTACTCCAATAATGAGATTTTTGCCCTTATCCATATTTATGTTAATGAAAAGTGAATCATAGTTATCATCATCCATGCTCAGGTCATCACAAACACTAGCCTGGAGATTGGATTTTACATACATACATAGACAGCCACCTATTTTTCCCAGTCTATTTTTATAATAGAATGTATAGCCCTTTAAGTTAAGAGTGTCAGTGTATGACTTGTCATTTAACCAGGTTTCACTGGTGTTAGTAAGTTATTTTTTAGAAAATGTTATAAGTTTACAATTGAATTAACAATGAAAATGGGCATCACCTTTCCATTCCTCCTTTTCCCAGTCTGTCCTTGTTGGGAGGGCTTTGGATGGCAGAGCTTTTGCAGGGTGTGGTCAGTTTTGGAGGCAGGGCTTAGAGTAACTGACAGGTCGAGTTCAGGGCAGCACTTCACAGAGGAAGAGGAGGAAAGGGGGATGGGGGCAGGGTGGGGGGATGGGGGCAGGGAGCTGGACGGTGAGAAACTCATTCTGACAAAAAAAAAAAAAAAGAAGACAGTTTATTTCTCATTGAAGAACATGCTTAAAGGAATTAAAACTAGAAAAATGTCTGCACAACCCCCCGGTCCAGGGGCCTTTCTGGGTGGAGTTTGCATGTTCTCTCCGTGCATGCGTGGGTTTTCTCCGGGTACTCCGGTTTCCTCCCACAGACCAAAAACATGCATTTTAGGCTGATTGGTAACTCTAAATTGTCCCTAGGTGTGAGTGAGAGAGTGAATGGTTATTTGTCTCGTTTGTCTCTATGTGGCTCTGTGATGGACTTGCGACCCGTCCAGGGTGTACCCCGCCCCTCGCACAGTGATTGCTGGACATGGGCACCAGCGACCCCCGTGACCCAAAATGGAACAAGAGGGTAAAGATAATGGATGGATGGATGGAAAATGTCTGCACAAATGTTGAAAAGATGCAGCCCAAGCAGCTCTCTTCTCTAAAGCCCAAGTTTGAGACTAATTTTTTTAATTGACTTTTTACAGCTAAAAATGCACATGTGTAAAACTGGGCACTACGTGTTCTAATAGCTACTAAGATTATTGACGGCTGATACTCAGCTCTAAGTCCTGTACACCTACCTTTTGACTGATTTTTATTTACAAACATTTTTAAAAATTAGTTTTATTAACCCTTCCCATGGGCTCACCACCTGTGGGAGGGGCCAAAGTGGTCGGGTGCAATGTGGGATGGATGGTGGCCGAGGGCGGGGACCCTGGCGGTCTGATCCTCGGCTACAGAAGCTGGCTATTGGGACGTAGAATTCCCCTTTGGGGAAGGAGCCTGAGCTGGTGTGTGAGGTTGAGAGGTTCCAGCTAGAAATAGTCGGACTCACCTCTATGCATGGCTCTGGAACCAGTTTCCTGCATGCAGGAAGTGGGCATACTTATTGCCCCCCATCTTGGTGCCTGTGTGTTGGGGTTCACCCCGGTGAATGAGAGGGTGGCCTCCCTTCGCCTACGTGTGGGGGGACAGGTTCTGACTGTCGTTTGTGCTTATGCACCAAACGGCAGTTCAGATTATCCACCCTTTTTGGAGCCCTTGGAGGGGGTACTGGAAAGTGCACCTCCTGGGGACTTCCTTGTTCTGCTGGGGGACTTCAATGCTCACGTGGGCAATGACAGTGAGACCTGGAGGGGTGTGGTTGGGAGGAACGGCCCCCCTGATCTGAACCCGAGTGGTGTTCTGTTGTTGGACTTCTGTGCTCGTCATGGATTGTCAATAACGAACACCATGTTCAAGCATAAGGGTGTCCATATGTGCTCTTGGCACCAGGACACCCTAGGCCGCGGTTCGTTGATCGACTTTGTCATCGTCGTCTCATCTGATCTGTGGCCACATGTCTTGGACACTCAGGTGAAGACAGGGGCGGATCTGTCCACTGATCACTACCTGGTGGTGAGTTGGCTCCGATGGTGGGGGAGGATGCCGGTCAGACCTGGCAGACACAAACGTATTGTGAGGGTCTGCTGGGAACGTCTGGCAGAGTCTCCCATGAGACGGAGCTTTAACTCCCACCTCCGAGAGAGCTACGAGCACGTTCCGGGTGAGGCGGGGGACATTGAGTCCGAGGGGCCATGTTCCGCGCCTCTAATGTCAAGGCGGCTTATCAGAGCTGTGGCCGCAAGGTTGTCGGTACCTGTCATGGAGGTATACCACCAACACTATTTATAGTGGAGGAGGTGTGCTGCTGACCTCAACTCAGGATGTCGTGGGTCGTGAGCAGAATACTTTGAAGACCTCCTCAATCCCACCGGCACGTCTTCCACTGAGGAAGCAGTCTGGGGACTTTGGGTTGGGCTCTTCAGTCTCTGATGCTGAGGTCACCGAGGTGGTTAAAAGCTCCTCGGTGGCAGGGATCCAGGGGTGGATGAGATTCACCCAGAGTTCCTTAAGGCTCTGAATGTTGTGGGGTTGTGTTGGCTTACACGACTCTGCAATATTGTGTGGACATCGGGGGCAGTTCCCCTAGATTGGCAGACTGGGGTGGTGGTCCCCCTATTCAAAAAGGGGGACCGTAGAGTGTGTTCCAACTACAGGGGGATCACGCTCTTAAGCCTCCCTGGTAAAGTCTATTCGAGGGGTTCTGGAGAGGAGGGTCTGTCAGATAGTTGAACCTCGGATTCAGCAGGAACAGTGCGGTTTTTGTCCTGGGCGTGGAACACTGGACCAGCTCTACACTCTCAACAGGGTCCTGGAGGGTGCGTGGGAGTTTGCCCAACCAGTTTACATGTTCTTTGTGGACTTGGAGAAGGCATTAGACCGCGTCCCTCGGGGAGACCTGTTGGGGGGTACTCCAGGAGTATGGGGTACCAGGCCCTTTGATACAGGCTGATAGGTCCCTGTACGACCGGTGGCAGAGCTTGGTCCACATAGCCGGCAGTAAGTCGGGCTCGTTCCTAGTGAGAGTTGGACTCCTCCAAGGTTGTCCTTTGTCACCGATTCTGTTCATAACTTTTATGGACAGAATTTCTAGGCGCAGCCAAGGTGCTGAGGGGATCCGTTTTGGTGGTCTTAGGATCGATTCTCTGTTTTTTGCAGATGATGTAGTCCTATTGGCTTCAGCAAGTCGTGATCTACGGCTTTAGCTAGAGGGGTTCGCAGCCGAGTGTGACACGGCCGGGATGAGGATCAGTTCCTCCAAATCCGAGGCCATGGGCTTGAGCCGGAAAAGGGTAGAGTGCCCTCTCCGGGTCGGGGAGGAGGTCCTGCCGCAGGTGGAGGAGTTCAAGTATCTTGGGGTCTTGTTCACGAATGAGGGAAAAATGGACCGCGAGATTGATAGGGGGATAGGTGCAGCATCAGCAGTGAGGCGGGCGCTGTACCGGTCTGTTGTGGTGAAGAGAGAGCTGAGTCAAAAGGAGAAGCTCTCAAATTTACCGGTCAATCTACATTCCTACCCTCATCTATGGTCATGAGCTTTGGCTTGGGACCGAAAGAACAAAATCACGGATACAGGCGGCCGAAATGAGTTTTCTCTGCAGGGTGTCTGGGCTCACCCTTAGAGACAGGGTGAGAAGCTCGGTCATCCGGGAGGCACTCAGAATAGAGCCGCTACTTCTCCACGTCGAGAGGAGCCAGTTGAGGTGGCTTGGGCATCTGGTTAGGATGCCTCCTGGACACTTCCCTGGTGAGGTGTTCCGGGCACTTCCCACTGGGAGGAAACCCAGAGGAAGACCCAGGACACGCTGGAGGGACTATATTTCTCGGCTAGCCTGGGAACGCCTTGGGATTCCCCCGGAGGAGCTGGCCCAAGTGGCTGGGGAAAGGGAAGTCTGGGCCTCCCTACTTAAGCTGCTACCCCCACAACCCGACCCCGTATTAGCGGAAGAAAATGGATGGATGTATGGTGTATTTGTCCAAGATAATTAATTTAGACTTCCATAAGTTTCATTAATAGGATACCTAATACATCAATTTATTTACAAGCTTTCTTTTCAGTTAAGGATAATGGGCCTGATGGAGATTGTCTAAGTGCCAGTTTTGGCCCTCGGGCCATATAGTGCCCACATTTGATTTTGTCCAAAGATTATAAATGGACTGTACTTCTATCTCATCAAGATACTCAAAGCTCTTTACAATACAATCTGTGCCCTCAGTTTCCCATTCAGCACTCTACTCTTTACAAAGCTAATTGAACAAATAATTCTAAAGAAACTAATCAGAGCTTTATTCGTACATAGATGTGACACATTGAGGCAATGAGGGGTTCAGTGTCTTGCACAGGAACACTTGGGCATGGGACTGTTGGTGGATTCGAACCCCCAACTCTTGCATTGGAGGACGACTGCTCTAACCACAGCCGTCCCTAAAAAAACAAAGAAAATTTGGTCATAATTCTGAACAGAACAACACAGCTATGTTCTTTCACTAATGAGAATTAATTTGCCCTCTGTGGTGGGGGATGAACCGTTTCTCACTTAAAGAAACTGTCCAGATGACATGATTTAACCTTTTCTGCTGTTATCTACCTGGATGATTGAGCTTACAAACCTTTCTCTATGGTGTATTTTTCCTCCTTCAGTTACCATAGCAACGAACGGTTAGTTGCTATGGTAACTTCAAAGCAGCGTCTTAACGAGTCTTAAACAGTGGGTGCGCTCCTTTTGAATCAACCGGTTGGTGAGTCAGGTAGAAGATACGATGAACCCAAAAGAGCGGAGTTAGAATGACTACAGCACATGGTCTTTTAGCATTTAGTGTGGTGGATTTGTTGGAGGAAGTCTCAACAGATGATACCGTTGTTTCCTGTTTTCACATTATACATGTTTCACATAAGGCAAGTGACAAGTGCGGATTCCAAACAGTAAACAGCTGAGTACAAAAAAACACTTCTCAAGATCATGGCTATCTCGCCTAGCCGCTGTCAGCAGCCATCTGGCAGTGGCTAGCCGCTTCGTCGCCCGGCGGGGTGACACGGAAGACTTTTAGCTAAAGTTAACTGGAAACCAGTCTTCGAGCGTGACGTGACCGAAGTACTTTTCTGTTTCGTTTTACACATTGACGATAGTATTAAATATACTGATTTGTTACCTGGTTTACTCTTTTCAAAGCATGTTGGTCCACACAAAGCCTTGTCCTTTTTAAAAGTGTACTATTAAAAACTATGACCCGCTTAATATTCAAGTTCCAGCAGCTTCTTCCTCATGTTTATTAGCGGCTGGCAAAACACGGAGGTTGGGCACTACCGCCACCACCTGGTGGAGGAGTGTGGTTGATCGTTGTTTAAATTCTGAACTTGTATAAACTATTTACTGTAGTCAGATTCTATTAATCGGTTATACGTTTTAAAAATCTAATTATAATTTGTTTATGTCTGCTACCTAGTTAGTTTGTACAGTGTTTATTATGTTAAGCCTTTCTTTGATTTTTGCAACTTTTTCTGGTTTTATTATGAAGGTACAGTAACCTCAATCTAATTTAGAATTAGAGAAAAAAAAAAAAGATTTTAACAATAAAAAGTGCTTAGAAAAAAAAAGATTTTAACAATAAAAAGTGCTT